CAGGAGTATAAAATGGGGGAATTGTTTGGGAGTGGGAACCAGCAAGAGATAGGAGGATGAAAAGAAGGGTGAAGAGGGAGGTGAATATGATCAAAGTATGTCATATGATGAATGAAAATAGAATAATGAAACTTACCAAAAATTGTTTCTAAAAAGGGAGTAGGGGAGATAAAAAATTACAGAGAGGGCAAATCAAATGTACTTGGCCAAAGTACATTATATGTGTGTATGGAAATACCAAAATGAAACCCCTTTGTATAATTAATATATACTAATAAAAAGTGAAAAAAAAATATAAGTTAAAATCACAGTAGGGTACTGTGTGCCCAATAGAATGGCTACAGTTAAAGAGACTCAGCCTTCCAGTTGTTGGTGAAGATGTAGAACAACTGGAACTCTCATTTACTTCTGCTGGAAATATACAATGGTCCAGCCACTTTGGAAACAGTTTTAAGGGGCTAGAGGCATGGCTTAAGTGGTTGGCAAGCAGTTCAAACCCCAAAAGGAAGGAAAGAAGGAAAGAAAGGGGAGGAAGGGAGGGAAAGACAGTTTAGCAGTGTCTTTTTAAAAGTTCAATGTGTACCTGTTTTGTGATTTGGCCATTTAATTCCTAGATGTTTAACTTGAGAGAAGTAAAACCATTCAAAGACTTGCACAGGAGTGTTCCTAGCAGTTTTTGTAATTGCTAAAACCTGGAAATAACCCATATTCACCAACAGGTGACTAGATGAACTATGGATTGTTTATACAATGGAATGTCAAAATAACCGTGCTAAGTCAAAGATATATTTTGAAAGAACGTACTGTATGATTTTGTTTATGTAAAATTCTGGAAAATGCAAACTAATTTTTAGTGACAGAAATCCTGGGCAAGGCAAGAGGGAAGGATTACAAAGTGACATGTGAAAATCTTGGGGAGTGATTTTTATGTTTCTTAACTAAATTATGGTCATGGTTTTGTGAGTCTATACATATATCAGAATTGACCAACTTGCACACTTAAACATGTGTCACTTCCTTATGTCAGGTATAAAACAAGGAGTAAAAGAAAAAATATTGTAGAAAACTGACATAGACATCTTTCCTTGTCGGTGCAAGGATCTACTTCATTCTTTTTTTTAACATTTGTATGGCATTGAATTATGTGTATTACTCTGATTTTATCCACATAGCCTTGGGTGGGTGACTCATCTGTTCCAGGTGATCAGGCCCCCCTTTTCCTTTGTGGATAAAGGATAAAAATGGCTTTTATTTGCTGAACCAGATTAATATACCTGACATCATCAGTCAGAATGTAATTTCTGAAACCTACCGCCTCTGGCTGTCCGTGACCTCTTGTCTCATTGAACTAAGAAAACTCTTGTTTATCCTAAACATTGACTATAAGTGATCTTTTCCATAAAATTATGGAGTCACAGAACTAATTTAATCCAACCCCCTTATTTTTACAGAAAAGAAAGCAGGATAAATGATTTACCTGAGATCATACAGAGAGTTAGAGCCCAGGACTCCCATCTCTTAGTTTATTTTTTACTGCACAGATGTCAAATAATTGCTTTTTTGCCCTAGGGTTGTTTGTATCAGCTCTGGATCAGTACGTATTAATCTTTAGGAAAAAAATACAAGCAAAGAACAGTCTCCATGGGTCATTGTTAAATGGACACTCTAGAGGAATGATTCTACTTAGAATTCATTTTTTCTTTAGAGCAAATAGGGGAAAAGAATAATTTTAAAGTAAAAAGTGAAATCAAGCCCCTTACTGTGTCTTGTATTTAAAGCTAATACATTTCTAAAGGAATGACCGCTGGTTCACCTCTTGTATATCCTAGAATTTCAACTCCTGCTGTTTGTTTTCACAGAACTATCTCAAACATCATGTGACAACTTGGAAAGCTTATTTTTCAGTGGCTGAGACATTATAAATTTTGTTGCCTCATTCTTTGTTCATTTATTAATTTGTTTGATAAATATATATGAATGCCTACTATGTGCCAGGCACTATTTAAGGCACTGGGATATATTGGGAAATATAAAAAGATCCCTTGCCTGTGGACCTGAGATTTGGGAGTAGGGAACATATAAAAGAAATAATCAAGTAAATATATAATACATCAGATATTCACAAGTGTGATGGTGAATATTAAGAGATAGGGAGTGCCAGGAACATGTGTGTACATTTGGTGTTTTTTTAAGGATAGCTAGGGCAAATCTTAGTAATAAGGTGACATTTGAGCAAAGGCATGAAGCAAATGAAGGAGCCAATCTGGAAATTATCTGGAAGAGGAACATTACCAGCAGGAAAAATCAGCACATATAAAAACCCAAAGAGAGTCTGTGTTTGACACTTTTGAGTAATCTGAAACTGAGTGGGGTAGAGGGATGAGAGGAGATGAGGACAGAACTATAAGACTTTGTTGACACTGGTAGGGACTGTCTTTTATTCTGAGTGAGATGGATATCTCAGAATGAGTGGTATGATTTTAGTCTTCTTCTTTTTAAAAATTAAGGCAAAATTAAAAGAAGAGACAGTAAAGAATCTATAAGTTGAACTGACAACTGAACCCAGTGAAAAAACCATCAGCCAGACTAAAGACAGTTCAAATAAATATCCAGTTGCAAACTGGCATAATGGCAGCCCATCAATGAAAACTTGTGAGATACTTTAATAGTAAATATGTATAGATGAAAAATTGCTAATGAAATGTTTTAATATATTTTTTAATAAAGCCACAATTATGGGATATAGATGGGATGAAAATAGTTTCTAAAGTAAAATAAAACCAATAACAAGATAAAATTCACATAACATTAACCATCATTTTAGCAATCTAAAGTGTTTAATAATTCTGTGATTGTTAGTACTTTCAGAATGTTGTGCAACCATCACCACTATCTAATTTCAGAACTTTTTCATCACTCCAAAAGGAAACCTGTACCCCTTAAGTAGCCAACTCCTTTGCCCCCTCAGTCGCTAATATGCTTTCTGTCTTTATGAATTTGCCTATTCTGGACTTTCTGTATAGACTTTTCTTATAAAATGTGGTTATTTGTGCTTGGTTTCTTTCAGTTACCATAATGTTTTCAATATTCATCCATTTTGCAGTATGTATTCAGACCTTCATTCTCTTTTATTGATGGATAATACTCCATTGCATAAATATACAATAGTTTGCTTATCCAGTCATCCATAGATGAACATTTGGGTTGTTTCTACCTTTTGGCTGTTAGGAATAATGCTACTATAAACATTCATGTAAAAGTTTTTGTGTGAACATACATCTTTCAGTTCTCTTTATTTTATACCTATGAGTAGAATTGCTGGGTTCTATGATAATTCTGTGTCTGACTTTAAATTTTTTTGTTGTTGTTAGAGATCTTGCTATCCTGTAAGGTAGGCTCCTTCCTCACCCTCCAGAGTAATGGAGACTAAAGGCATGTACTACTGTACTCATATTGATTTTTTAAAGGCTCATTTGGGCTATTGTGTTGGTAGGTTGTCTAGGAACAAAAGAAGCAGAGATCAGTTCTGAAGCTATTGCAACCATTCAGTTCCTAGATGATGGTGGTTGGGTCCAAGTAATGGCTGTGGAAGGAATGAGAACTAATCAGATTTTAGATAAAGTCAAAAGGATTTTCTGATGGATTTGATTTGGATTGTGAGAGGAAATGAATTAAGGACAATTCTTGGGATTTTTGACCTGAGAAATAAAAGGAGGCAGTTTCCATTTGATGAGATTCAGAGAAGAGCAAGTTTGGAGCAGGATTAAGGCCTTGGTTTTATATTTGCTATGTTTTAAGACATCCAAGTAGGGATGTTGAATAGGCTGGGCATTGGAAAAAATAAGTCTGGAGTTTGAGTAAGAGATAAATTTGAGTTACCAGTTTATAGAGACTATTTAAAGCCATGAAACTAGAAGAGATCATTTAGAGATACTTCTAGATAGAGAAGAGAAGCAGCCCTAGGAAGAAGCCTGGCCACAATCCAAACATTAGAGTTCTGGAACTGGAGGAAGGACCACTGAAGAAGACTGAGAAGGGGTAGCCAGTGAGGTCAGAGGAAACCAGGAGAGTATGGCATCTTGGGAGCCAAAGGAGTTTACTTGACATACTTGAGAAAGAATGAATATTTCCTTTTCCTGCTTCTCTCATTCATTTTTTGAGACAAAGAGCCCAGGAATAGTGGTCTTCCCTTTAAAGACAAAGACTGCTGTTTTGAATGCCCACATTCGTCTTTTACCAAGGTGACTAAGCTGAAAAAGAATTCTGGTCTTCGGAATATTGTCTTCAAGACATACTGCTTATTTCAAGATATACTTAAGCCCTACTGAAAGAATGTATTCAAGAACTCAGTCAACAAATATTTGAGTGCCCACTCTGTGCCTGCCTGTCTTCTAGACAGTGGGAACACAAGTAGTAAAATACGTGATTACTGATCTCATGGAACTTAGTCTAATAGACATGAAACAAATCATTTGTTTAAGTTATTGACCAAGGTAAATAATTTGGTTAAAAGACATAAATAATTACATATGTGATGAATGCTGCCAAGAAAAAAAGGTACTTTGTAAACAAGGTTATTAATCCAGAGAGATTTTGAGGAATTGACATCAGGACAAACCTCAAGAAGTAGATTTAGCCAAGTGAGGAAAAGTAGTCATTGTGAAAGAACATCTCAGGCAGATAAAAGGGGAAGAGGGAGGACTTTGGAGTATTCATGGAACCAAAAGAACTTCATCTTTCTGGAATGTAAAGTGTGAAGAGGAATGGAGGGTGGAAGAAGAGGCTGGAGAAGTGAGCAGAGGCCAGACCATAAGGATTTTCTTGCCATGCGAAGGAGTTTGAATTTAATTACAACAGCAATGGGGAAGTACGGAAGAGTGGCTCTTACATTTATTTTAGGAAAATCACTTGGGCTGCCATTGTAAATGGGTTGGAAAGAGGCCCAATGAGAGGACGGAGAGCTCACTTCTAAAATGTTGGTGCCTGAATTTTTATTCTAGTGTGCCATTTGAAGTCCCAAAGCTGAAAGGAGGGAAGAGTGCACTGGAGGCTGAGAGCGAGAGTCTAGATAGTTACACAGCTGACTCGGATAGCACCTCCAGGTGAGGCTCCCCCATTTCCCTCATCTCTGCTCAACCTGAGCTCCCATTTTGCTTTCTAGCATCAGGATGCAGGTCTCCTATGCCTTGAGTATTCCTGACATCTGTCCTCAAGAAGTTGAACGAAGTCTTTTCGCCGACATCACCAGAAGTCTCTCAGTAGTAATTCTACTGATTTGGCTCTAATTACAGCTTCTTGGAGTGTGTTAACTTCCCCAGGCTTCTGCACACTGTAGGATTTTTCCTAGCTCAACAGCAACTGAAGCTTCTGACCCTTAGGAATGAGGAGGGGGGGGTGAGTGTTTGTGTTTGTGCAGAATTGCTTACCTGATCTGCATTCATTCAACATAAATTAGATGTGAAATGTACCTTCTGGATTTGGCTACTATGTTGACCCAAGCCAGTGACTTTCCTTCCTTGCTAGAGCTTTGAGCTCTGATAGAAGAGGAAGGGGAGGAGGTAACTTAGTGGTAACTTCTAAATCTATCTTCAGGAGAGACTCTCTGGATAAATCTGGCCTCTTCCCAGAATGGAAGAAGATGTCTGCTCCTAAATCTCAGGTAGAAAAGGTAAACTTCAGGTTATTGTTCTCCCTGCTCTTCTTTCTTCCTTCCCTCCCTTCTTTCCTTCCTTCCTTCTTTTTTTATCTCAATCAGAATTTAAATCAGAACATCAATGAAACAAATTTTGCTTCAGATTCATGTTGAGGTGTTTTTTAAGATTTTGGTTGAAATGCTCATGAAAATGCCTTTTCTACTACTTCTAGGCATTTATTCTTTCCTTTAAGTTTGTCATAGTTGAATGGAAATCTGAAGCTTATTCTGTTTAAGGCTATCAGTCCTTATTCACTCCTTCTACCTACCAGACTTTTTTCCATTTCCTTGCCCTTATTCCTTCCTAGGAAGTTCAGCCAGGCAGTCAAAATGCAGTACCGATTGATGAGGCTGAAATGATATTCAAGAAAAACACCAGAAAAACCCTCAGGCCTTCAGGTAGCCAGTTTCCTTTCATGGCATTTTGGGGCTGAAGTTCTGAGTATCTTTGCTGGGCTCTTGGTATAGAGTACAGTGGGTCTCTTTTGACTTGGGTTTTTGGTCTTCCACTCAGAATATACGAAATCTGTGATAGATCTTCGTCCAGAAGATGTGGGGCATGAAAGTGGCTCCTTGGGAGATAGAAGCAAATCTGTCCCAGGCCTCAGTGTGGATATGGTAAGTGCACTTTGTATTTCACTTGGTAATGGTATTAACTTTTTGTATTTAAAGTTATGGCTTTAGTGCCTGATATTCTTAATCAACCAGTCTAATTCTTTAGGATAAGGCAACATGGCTCTTTATTCCCCAAAATTTCTGAAGTAAATTCAGTTCCTGTTTCACTTAAAGGAAAGGACTAGACTTCAGTTTAGTGTATTTGTTTGTTCTTATCCTTAATTTAAAGTGTAGGTTTCTGTCTCTTATCTTCTAACTCATTGCTGGATATCTGGTTGGCAGCTCAAATAATACTTATTTTGATTAAACTATGAAGAGATGGTTGGATTGGGGCAGTCAAATGTGAAAGAGTTATAGCTACTATGAAAAATATTAAACACTCTACCTTATTCTTTTGAGATTTAAGAATGATGGTTGGAGTAGAGCTGGGAATCCAGAAATGGGGAGTCATATAAAAATAAGAGTATGTGCACACATGTTCACATGAAACCTCAGGCTCCCAATAAAGGAAAGATACTAGTCTTTGAAACTTTTCTTATTTTTATTAACTCTGAATCACTATGTATTGTTGTAGGAAGAGGAGGAGGAGGAAGAAGAGGAGGAGGAAGACATTGACCACCTGGTGAAGTTGCATCGCCAAAAACTTGCCAGAAGCAGCATGCAAAGTGGCTCTTCCATGGTAAGTTGTATTAGTTCTATGGTTATAGACATATTAGAACACCAGAAAGGAAATACAAGCTTCCATAGGGCATACTCAGGACCCTGGAAATCATCCTAATCATTCTTCCCTGGTAAAGAGGTGCATTTTTTTTTCCTATCCTTAATTCAGACCATAGGTACTCAGTGTACATCTATATAACTTCCTGAGCCTCTCCCCTGGAGATTCTTTAATTAGGTAATTAGGTCTAGGGACATTCTTTATCACTTTGTGAGAAGTAACCATAACTGCTCTAAAAAAGTTTTCATACCATGAAGTGAGCAAGATCAGAGTTATTCATCATAACCCACACCATATTCCCACATTAAAGAGAGGTAAGTGTTATGACAAGGCCTTTGACCAGGTTAACCGATATCAAGATGTAGGTTAAGAATCAAACAATACCAGTCAGTATCATAAGGTTAAAGGAACGTTTAAGAATCAGGGCCTAGTTCTATCACAAGCATGAAGATTGATGTTTAGGCAAATAGGGTCAGAAATAAGGGTGATTAGAGTTTCATACCACACAGGAAGAGAATATAGAACTCGCACAGCTGAGAGTACCTTTCTACTTCCAGTATTGTATCCCCCGCCCCCATTCTAGACTAATGTCTTTTTTCTGTAAGCCTTGATAGAGATAAAGCAGATAATTAGGGCACCTTGTTTTAATTAGTAACCAACCATACTAGCCAATGTTTCAACATATACAACACATACCACAATTGGACTTAACTATATCATACCTTTTCTCCTTGCCTGCCTTCTGGGGAAAGTGAAAAATTAACAATAAAATGTTTAAAAGGTGGGGAAAAGAGAAGCTAAGAGCCTGGATGAGCCATAAGCTGATTTATTAACCTGAACAATTATGAATGCATTGCTAGCTCTGCCTTCTCCTCTGGGTAAAGGACTGTTGGTAGTACTGGCTCCTTACAGCTGCTTCTGAAACTTGCTCAGTGACTCTGGCATTATCACGATGGAAGATGTAAGCAATATGCGTGTCGGAGTGTGTGTTCTGAGACATTTGTGGTGGTTTATCTTCAGAGTACCATTGGCAGCATGATGAGCATCTATAGTGAAGCTGGTGATTTTGGGAACATCTCTGTGACTGGCAAGATTACCTTTTCCCTCAAGTTTGAGCAGCAAACACAGACTCTGGTCATCCATGTGAAGGAATGCCAGCAGCTGGCCTATGCTGATGAAGCTAAGAAGCGCTCTAACCCGTGAGTGCTTCTGGGACCAAGCAGACCCTGGCATCTGTCTGGGCACTCTTGAACCAAGCTTATCACCTCTAGGGGGAAGGGAGGTATGATATAGGAAAGGGCCCAGGACTGGGAAAAGGCAAGAATGGAATATCTAGGAGGGTTTGGTGTACCTTTTGTCCCCAGTAGTACTGGGTAAACTTGGCTTCACTCTTTCTAGGCAGGCACTCTACTGTGTGGGCCATTCCTCCACCCCTTTTAGTATTGATTGTTTTTGACATAGGGTCTTGCTTTATGTCTGGGCTGGCCTGGACTGTGATCCTCCTATTTGTGCTTCCTTATGCAGCTAGGAATAACAGGTGCATGCTGCCATGCCCACACACTGTTTGACATGGGGTCTTCTGACCTTCCCCCCTTCCCCGGGCTGGCCACAAACTGATCTGCCTGATCTCTTTTTTTTTTCATTTTTCTTTTATTATTCATATGTGCATACAAGGATTGGTTCATTTCTCCCCCTCCTGCCCCACCTCCCTCTTACACCCACTCGCCCCCTCCTCTCCCCACCTCAATACCAGCAGAAACTATTTTGCCCTTATCTCTAATTTTGTTGTAGAGAGAGTATAAGCAATAATAGGAAGGAACAAGGGTTTTGCTGGTTGAGATAAGGTAGCTATACAGGGCATTTGACTCACATTGATTTCCTGTGCGTGGGTGTTACCTTCTAGGTTAATTCTTTTTGATCTAACCTTTTCTCTAGTACCTGTTCCCCTTTTCCTATTGGCCTCAGTTGCTTAAGGTATCTGCTTTAGTTTTCGCGTTAAGGGCAACAAATGCTAGCTAGTTTTTTAGGTGTCTTACCTATCCTCACCCCCCCTTGTGTGCTCCGCTTTTATCATGTGCTCATAGTCCAATCCCTTGTGTATGCCTTGATCTAATGTCCACATATAGGGAGAACAATACGATTTTTGGTCTTTTGGGCCAGGCTAAACCTCACTCAGAATGATGTTCTACATTCCATCCATTTACCAGCGAATGATAACATTTCGTTCTTCTTCATGGCTGCATAAAATTCCATTGTGTATAGATAGCACATTTTCTTAATCCATTCGTCAGTGCTGGGGCATCTTGGCTGTTTCCATAACTTGGCTATTGTGAATAGTGCCGCAATAAATATGGATGTTCTGCCTGATCTCTGCCTCTCAGGTAGCTAGGCTTGATCCACAGTGTCAGGCCTTGATGTGACATTTTTAACATTGCATTCATCATTGCATATTTATATGCAGAGAGGGGAAGTAAGAAGGAGCTTGAGAAAGGATGGTGAATTACTCAGTACTATCTTTGGATTCTAGCTACGTGAAGACTTATCTTCTGCCTGATAAGTCACGCCAAGGAAAAAGAAAAACCAGCATCAAACGGGACACAATCAATCCACTATATGATGAGATCCTCAAAGTGAGTCTAGACCTTGAGGGGAGAAGAACTTGTTCTGTCTTGTGCCCCAAGCTGCACCTATGCCTCTTTAGCATAGCTGGTCAACATGGTTTTCAGTGAGCCATGTCTGTGTGTGAGGACTCACTATTGGCATTTGTCCACATCTTGACCTCCTAGAGATGAGGAAAAGGTGATTTGGCTTCCTTGGATTGTTGTGAAATTAGAGATTCACATGGCCACAAATCTCATTTTAAAAAGTCTTTGGCAATTATTATGGATGTTCCAGGGCCCTCTCACCCACTCAAGAAAAAATTAATCCATTTTCTAAGTTTGCCCTTGGACCATGGTAGATTTTTGTGAAATGGGGTAAATTGAAGGTTTGAGTGAGGAAACTCAAAGTACTTAAGAATTAAAATAATTTTATATCAAGACTATAGACTTTGGATATAAGTTGCTAAAGGTTTGGAAGAATCTTTTTAGAGAAATTACCACTAACTGATCATCTTGGGCTTCTACTTTTCCTTCACAGTATGAGATCCCAGAATCTCTCCTGGCCCAGAGGACCTTGCAGTTTTCAGTTTGGCATCATGGTCGTTTTGGCAGAAACACTTTCCTTGGAGAGGCAGAAGTCCAGATGGATTCCTGGAA